TAATGTTGGATCTCTGGGTATAGCTCAGTAGAACCCTTGCCAGGCATTCAAGGCTCTGGGTTCAGTCCTCATCACTGCAGAAAATGAAACAAAACTAATGTTGGAATAGAATTGATGTCACCATTGTAAAATAACATGTTGACACTCACTTACAGAACATTTCACAGAACTTTTCCTGGCTCCCTGAAACTGTTGGTATGTGTAGAATAATGAACTTAGTTATAGCCAAGGGAATGCCAGTAAATTAAATTTTTTAAAATTACATTTATTGCCAGGCATGGTGGCGCACGCCTTTGATCCCAGCACTTGGGAGGCAAAGGCAGGAGGATCTCTGTGAGTTCAAGGCCAGCCTGGTCTCCATAGTGAATCCAGGACAGCTGGGGCTACAGGGAGACTGTCTCAAAAAGACCAAAAAAAAAATTACATTTATTATTGTTTGTGTGTGATGTGAATCCAGGACAGCTGGGGCTACAGGGAGACTGTCTCAAAAAGACCAAAAAAAAAATTACATTTATTATTGTTTGTGTGTGATGTGTGTGTGGCTACATGGCATGTGTATGATGGTCAGAGGATAACTTGCAGGAGTCAGGTCTCTCCTACCATGTGTGGTCTGGGAATTGAACTTGGGTTGTCAGCCTTGGTGGCAAGCACCTTTACCTGCTGAGCCATCTTGGCAGCCCTCACCCAGAAACTTCTGGCACACCCCTTCCGTGATTCAAGCAAGAGATGAGGGCCAAGACATACAAGGTCTGAAGCAATAGCCTTCTGCCTTTAGGACCCCAACAGTAGAATTAAGATGGGTGCTATAATAGCTCTAAAGCAGACTGCTCTGGATTGAGCTGTTTAAGAGACAGCTGAGTGTCATGGACTTAGTGGAGGCTGAGCAGGATTCTGCCTGGATAATTTGAGCCTCCTCATCAATCCACCCAGTGCATTTCAGGACCTGCATTTACAGACTTCCTCAGGAAGGCCAAAATGCCTTGTTAGATTCTGTTCCATAGTGTTGTACAAAATAGTGTATCAGTGTCTTATTCTAAAATCCTCTTCATGGGTTCTTTCTTTTGGGGGGGGTAGGGGAGGGACAAGGTCTTACTCTGTAGTTGTGGCTGGCCTGGAACTCGCTGTGTAGACCAGGCTAGCCTCAAACTCACAGAGATCCTCTTGCTTCTGCCGCCCAAGTGCTGGTATTAAAGGCATGCACCATGCATGGCATCTTCACTGGTTCTTAGCAAAACACTTTGGAATGATTTGAGAGATCCTTTCATTTTTGATCCCCAAATGATAACTATTTTTATCCATCCTAGGAGTGAGAAGACTTAGTCTATATTAGGAAGCAGTACACTGTAGCAGGAATGAGGGTGGGACTGATCCCGTCCTGTCTTAGTGACGTGGTCTCTTCCTCTGAAGGGAAGGAATGACAAGAGAATGCAGGCTGGTATGGAAAGACTTCCTCAAAAATGGTTGTATCTAGAGGTGGAGAGTGGCTTAGTGCTTAAGAGCACTTGCTGCTCTTGCAGAGGACCGACCTGGGTTCAGTTCCCAGCACCCACATCAGGCAGCTGTCAACCACCTGCAAATACAGCTCCAGGGGATTCCACACCTCTGGACATGAAGGCACCCCTCATGCATGTGGCATACACACACATAGACAAAACACATACACACAAACACACGTACACATAATTTAAAATAATAAAACATTTTTAAATTAATGATCAGATCTTTCCAGAGCCTGAGATGGTCTCTCTTCCTCTTCTAAAAGGGTTGTTCTAGAGCTGGGTTGCCCAGTGGAGTTTCTGTGATAATGGGATGCCCAGGGACCAACAAGAAGCATTTGCCATGTACATAGGTGAGGAGCTGAATTCTTTATTTCATGCTCATATTTATATTCATTTCTCTCATCCTGCTCAGGCTTCCTGAATACTAAGATTACAGCCCAACAACTAGTCAGATTTAAATTACTGTGAAATAATTAAGGAGGAAGGGTTGGTTTTTGCCTCATGGTTTCAGAGATTTCAGTTCATCATAGTGGCCAGGAAACAGAATGCTGATACCAGCTGGCTTCCTCTCCCTCCCTGTTTCACCTGGGACCCCAGCCTGTGTCCTGGAAACACACAGGCACACCCAGAAGTGTGCTTTACTAATCTCCTAGGAGCTTCTCAAACCAGTCCAGATTATTAGCGATCACAAGCCCAGAGCCTTTTGCATGGTAGGCAAGCCTTCTACCACTGAACTACATCCCCAGCCCTTCCACCCTGACTTTGAAACAGGTCTTAATATGTAACCCAGGCTGGCCTCAAACTGGAGATCCCCCTGCCCTAGCCCCTGGAGTGCTGGGATTATAGTTGTGAGCCTGATTCATTTTAATTAATTTTAAAAGGCTTTTGGATGGCACAGCAAAGTTATCAAATCTGTGTTCAGACCAAGTTTTCAAGTGCTGTGAATGGGCATGGGCTTTGAAAACTGACCCCAGAGTGTTTGATGGAAGCAGTTCCTAGGCACTGCATGCTTGTGGACTGAGGGGTCCAGATTCAAGGACTGCTGGGGAGGAGGCTCTCAGATTCCTTTCTCATAGCTGCCTGGGCCCGTTTTCAGCAGCACTGATTCAAGTTTCTCTATTTCTGCTGAATTTTCAATTGTATTTTCAATTGTGAATGATTTACTAAGGGAGAAAGCCCCTGTATAGTATGACGCATTTGGGGACCTTGTATGAAAACAGACTGTACGCTGTTTGTTTATTTGGAGGGGTTGGCAGCCAAGGAGTGAAGGTTTGTTTGGGCATGGGACTGTGACCCAAGGCCGAGCCTACTGTCCAAGAAAGAGCTTACTGCCTCCTCTCCAACAAGAGTTAACTGCAGGGAGCAGTGACGTCAGTCCTGATCTTTAAACCTCTGCTCTTGAGCAACCTGATACTGTGGCTGCTGGGCCTGTGCTCATTGGCTGCTGGCTGTACTTACAGTGGGCGGGTTTTTTTTTTCAATTAAGTAAAAGGGCAGGGCTTAAGTAGCCAATGACAGTGAGGCCGGCATATCTTGTGCAAGTTTCCTGGGAACCAGGTCATTTCTCCTTCTTGACTTCTGCCAGTACTTGGTCCTGGTGGTGGCTGAGCACCCCATCTCGTCAGCATGCTTTGCCTGTGCCTGTATGTGCCGATCATGGGGGAGGCTCAGACGGAGTTCCAGTACTTTGAGTCCAAGGGGCTTCCCTCCGAGCTGAAGTCCATCTTTAAACTCAGCCTTTTTATCCCCTCACAGGAGTTTTCCACCTATCGCCAGTGGAAGCAGGTCTGTATGCTGAGCAGGTGCTGTGAGGGGCAGCAGGCAGGGACTGGCTTGTTTTCCCCCCAGATGAGTGGACCACAGGCATGACTTCCTCTGCCTGGAGGAAAGAATGTCTGAAATGTAGGTGTTTCCCAGCCCACACGTGGCTGTGGCCAGCAGGTCTATGTCACGATCATAAGAATGACCAGTTTTCATGTGACTTCTAGGGAAGACTGGACTCCTAGTAAGGCATTCTTGGGAGATGGACTCTCTGGAGAAGGAGTCCTTTTTATGGCTGAGGTAGAGCCTTCTGAGATGTAAAGGACTGAAAAAGAGACTGAAGGCTATCCAGTGGTAGTGGGTAGGTGTTATGACTCCAGAGCAAAGGCTAGGAGTACACAGGAGGGGAGAGGCTACGGGGCTCCTCTTTGACAACCCAGGATGCAGAGAGGGGCCGAGGGCTGGAGCTGGCTGTTCTGGACCCTGAGAGGAAGACATAAGGAGGGCAGCTTTCCCTCCTTCTAGACCCTTAGGTACCCAAGGAACAGGGTGGCAGCAGAGATCCTGACTTTTTTATGATGAGAGACTGAGCCACAGGCTGTGGGGCACGCTAGCCTTCTGGCCTCGGTTCATCAGGTTCTGTACTGTCCTCCAGTGCTGGTGATGGCAGCATGCACTGAGGGGATGATATTGCAGCTCACACAAAGGAGTGACCCATGTTGCCCCCCATTCTTGAGATTAACCTTCAGGGTGGCTCAGGATGCATGTGAATCCTGCACACCACTCCCCTGGCTGTATAATCTCATGTGACCATTATCTCCTGGAACTCCCGTTTCTTGTTTTGTAGCGTATAGGAAAGGATAGGTTCTACCTCTTAGAGCTGTTGGAGAGGATTCAGTAAAGCATCTTGCGGCCCCATACCCCAGAGTGGAGAAGCTCCAGTTGCTGAGCAGACAACACTGAATAAGCTGCTGAGCAATGCTCACCTCTGAAGGACAGGGTCTCTTAAAGCCTTCCTAGGTCACTAAACTAAGTAAAGCTGCCCTGATTTTTAGTGCCTGGTTGGGAGGTCTAGGGTTGGTTATATTGTCTGGCATCCCTGAGACTAGGGTCTGTACTGGCAGTGCCATCAAGCACAGGCCTAAGAATAGTTGCTCTTGGCTCCTACTACTTCTCTAGCCTCCAGAGTATTCCCTGGCAATGTTTCTGCCAAGTAGGCATTGCCCTGCACCTTCACCCTGGCCACCAAATTGTTCTTGGGCGAGTGCCACCACAGAGGATAGAGCAAGTACAGATTCCTATGGGAATCTGGATTCCAAGGCTATCCTCACCTCTCAGCAAGGAGTGTGGGGCTGAAGTCTGACTCCAGGGACAGCCATTCAGGAGAGCCAAGCAGCTAACCCTAGCTATGTAACAAGCTGATCTTGGAGGTGCTTGGAAAGAGCAACTGCCGGGCTACCCCGCTGGCCTGTCTGAAGAGTTCTTCCCAGGGGCTCCTTTTTCTTTGCCTGTTGGAAAAGCAGAGTGGGCCCCTGCTTGGCTTCTGAACAGCCATCAGGGATCTAAGCAGTGGCTCTGGTGTGTGGATAAATGATGTGATGGACCTCATATGGGCTAGTATATTCTTGCTGGGGGTAGGGGCTAGAAATCTTTGGTTATTGGGGAGATCAGTTTTTCCCTGGGGAGAGATCTCTACCTGTGACAAGAAATAATAAAACCACAAATCCTTCTATTTTCTAGAAAATTGTGCAAGCTGGTGATAAGGACCTTGATGGGCAACTGGACTTTGAAGAGTTTGTCCATTACCTCCAAGATCATGAGAAAAAACTGAGGCTGGTGTTTAAGAGTCTGGACAAAAAGAATGATGGTGAGTTTGGCTATAGTTCCTGCTGGCCAGGCCTTGGGCTTTCCATGTTCTTGGCCCCAGCTCACAGCGCTGTTGTTACAGGACGAATTGATGCACAGGAGATCATGCAGTCCCTACGGGACTTGGGAGTCAAGATCTCTGAACAGCAGGCTGAAAAGATTCTCAAGAGGTAAGTATCCAGCAACCTCTGTTTGATGTGATGTTATTTAAAAAAGGCTTTTGGACTAATCCATGTTGCTGTTCACTGTATTAACCTGTTTCCCTGAACTGGCCTTCTTGTGGTTTGGAAGGATAGATAAGAAGCCTTACCCTTAGCCGGGCGTGGTGGCGAACGCCTTTAGTCTCAGCACTTGAGAGGCAGAGGCAGGTGGATTTTTGTGAGTGCAAGGCCTGCCTGATCTACATAGTGACTTCCAGGACACCTGGGGATACAGGGAGACCCTGTCTCAAGAAAAAAGACAAAAAAAAAA